TCGTGGCGTCGCGTGCAACCAGCAAGAATCGGAAATCTGGAAGGTTTACTGGGTAAAAACCGTATTTTAATCCTGTTTATATCAAGCATTATGTTGGTGAACAATAGTAATTGGCGAACAAAAGTAATTATAAACTGAAATAAAATAATAATAATGTTTGGAATAAATAAGAAGCAAATGCCGGTTAGCCGCTTATAAAGCATATGCATAATAATCAATGCAATATATTTAAATTAAGCATCCTATTTAATTGACCCTTTTTTGATGTTCAAAGCAATATTTTTTCTTCCCAAATTTAAAATAAATCTGAATTTTTTAATAAAGACGTTATTCGCAAAAAAATTAATCTGTTTCTTCTCTTCAGTTTTGGACCCTGCGATGATAAAAGATTAACCTGAGATCAGGCTCTATTTTCGTTTCGCTTTGAAAATTACATTCCGGCGGGCAAGACGAAACGAAAAGAGAGCACCAATTTCAGCGGTAGCCGTTAGAGAGAATGTATGAGAACCGCTCAAATTGGGCCTGATCTCAGGTTACTAAAAGATCAACACAATAAGTTTCCCGGGGGGGGAGGGTACTTCAGGAATTGTTGGGTGGAGATGTGCCGCTAGCTAGAGCTAGCGCTAGTTCAATTAAATTATGCTACACTATACTAGATTAAACTCCCGAAATCCCCCCCTTCTATCCCAGAGTAGCTGTTTTCCAGAAACTACTGAGGTCACAAACACGGTCCAGCGAAAACAAAACCGATTTGATTTTTTTATATTCTTGAGTGGCAGTTCCCGGTTTCCTTAGTCTAGATTAAAATCTTCAACCAATTGATCAGTTTCCTGGAAAATGATACCCTGTTCTACACCTAAAACTCTCTGATTTATATACCCTATCCCAGAGTAAACTGCTTGAAAACCATACCCTTCACTGTGGCACATATCTATATAGCCCATATAGCAGTATCCCCCTCCCCACGGTCTCCCATCTCTTGGCCTCGCTAGGTAGGGTACTCTCCCTCGCTCCGCGCTCCTCATCCTTTTTGTGTATTGCGCCTACAATACCTCAGACTGTCATCCTATGGCGCTTCGCGGTCTAAAAGCTCTCTTCGTCGCTTTACGTTTTCTGCGGTGAATCTCGTGAGGACGACTTGCAGCAAGTCTAACTATGCCTCAGCACCTCCCAACAAAGACATTTTTGATCGTGTGGGAGTTTCATGCATGAAATCATGTGAAATGCTAAGAGGCCGCACTCAGATCAGAAAAGACAAAGAACTGAGACC